AAACACTGCGCCTTTATTTACCACTTCCAGTAGGACCACATACCTACAACTTACAAAGTGCTGCAAATTTATTGTAAACATTTATACAACACAAAATATGCTACATTTACCCCAATGCAGCTGCCCGTCTTTACTCCTTACCACAATTACACACACACACACACACACACACACACACACACACACACACACACACACACACACACTCAACACACACACACACACACACACACACACACTTACTAGAGCCAAGATAACAATGAATACCCAAATAACAATGAAACTAACAACTGCTGCAATGTTTACCTTCAATGCAGAGATTTTCCCCACAATGCTTTTTTGTCACTCTGCCTTCCCCTCCTATCAGCATTCTTTTTGTCAGCATATGAACTGATTGTGATGATTGTGATGCTGCTTCTTCCTCTCACACTCCAACGCTGCTGTACAGTGACAGCAAGGGGTCAATACAGGTCAAATTCAGGTAACCACACATCTTGCATTTACCAAAACTACGGTATATATCTACACACCAAATGCCCGGAAATTGTTATGCAGTCAATGGCAATCTCGTGACCTACAGACAAGTGACCTAGTAGAAGAGATACCACAGCACCTAAGAATACATTATCCATTCTACAGGTCTCTTGTACAGAATTAGGTAGGCTATACACAGTGATGAACTGACAAAATGTAACTCAGAGGGCGCCCCTGTCAGTAACCTTCAATCAGATTGAAGGAGCAGGTTGGAAAATTCTCGCCCAAACGGATCTAGCAGCTAATCAGCTGCAAGCTCAGTTCGGGTATTCATACAGTGGCTGTCAGAATACAATGCAAAACAGCGGGGGATTCCTCCATCCACACTCGTAAGCATTGATGGAGGAATCTGTGATATTTTCTTCATTCAGCCCGCAGGTTCAACAAAGAAAACATAATCAAGTATAACCGGCTTTAGAAACATCCTCCTGACACCATATCAGTAACCCGCACAACAGCCTTGAACTATTCGATCTGTATTGTAATAGTGAATAGTCTACTACTGCTCTGATGACACCCTACATATTACAAGACTTAACTCTGATGACAACTTATATACTAGCAGACGGCAACAGCTTAGCTACAATACACTCCATCTAGCCGATAGCTCATTACTGCAAGACTGTTGCATTGTTGTAAGATAAAAGAAGAACCCTTCCCTTTACTCCATAGTAAGAATCACAGCTCTCCTGCTGTCCCATGTCTACATCTACGGTCAGTCTAAAGGTGCCCATACACCTTACGATTATCGGACGATAATCGTATGCGATCGACTTTTCGAACGACAATCGTACGTGTGAATAGAGTGCCCGACCGACATTACTGTACAATCGTACGACTTTTGACGGTCAAGCATGTTGGAAAACTTTGCTCGATCGTACGATTGTCGTAAGGTTGCTGCCGTTTCCGTCCGTCAAAAGTCGCACGATCTACACTGCGCATGCGCGAACGAAAATACGACAAATCAATTACCGCATTTCGTCCAGGTGCTTTTTGTTAATTACGGCTAAATTAATCTTGCGATCATCGGGGCAGGATGGGGCTGTCGTACGAAAATCGTACGTACGTGTCGTACGATTGTCGGCGGGTTTCTAGCCTGCTCGTCCGATAGCTGCGGAACGGGCCGGTGTGCGCACGCGCACACTGCCCGTTCTGCATTGCGGTCATCAGAAGCCCGCCCCGCTCGCATCGATGATCGCAAGTACGATCTGCCCGTCCAAGGTGGGCAGATCGTACAAGCTTTCAATAAGCTTACGACCATCGCAAGACAAAAGTCTTGCGATGGTCGTAAGGTGTATGGGCACCTTAAGGCTAGAAACAAGATCTGTGATTGGCTGTTGTAAATTCCCGCAAATCACTAGTATCAGCTAAGTTGTGGAAGTGTATATAAAGCCAATGTTTTTTTTTTCATTTTGTATAGCATATGGAAGGGTCGGGAGCTCCTTTGGGTTTTTATGACTGTATGGGTCCCTGCTGGGGAGATTCCCCTTTGCTTTGGGTCCAGGTGACCACAGTAGAGAGTAATGGGAAATCCAAAATCAGGAAGAGAGTACATTTTCCAATGTGGACACTGGTCTGTGAAGATTGTCATTCATCCAGGTCATGGTATATCTGTAAAAAATAAGTCAACTGGACAATTCAGAATTGAGAAAGCTGGTCGGGTGTCTAGTGAAACGTCTTCAAGAAAAATACAGTTGCCTTGACTTATTTTTTACAGATCTAATGTGGATACTTGGTATGGGGACAACCGTCTGTGCTTTGGAGAGATTTCATTCTTACTTCAATACTTTGGATAGATCTCCTCTTACTTTCTTTTTACTCTATTCAAAATTTTAAAGTTAGACGTTTGGGCTATACATACACTCTAAGAAGCTATTACTGTATAACTTACTGTGCCCCTTACTTCACACCACCCACCAATGCCAAGTCCATTACTCCAGACAGCTACACCAACCCATGCTGATAGCCAGATCTGACAGGTACCAGTGCTGCTCACAAGGCAAACTTCTGAATTGTGCAGGACTCGCATTGCTACACAATGATGGAATACATGAAAAACACATCCATATGTGGCTAAGCAATCCATTGCAGATTTCAATGAGTAATTCCCATGAACCACACACACCTTGTCTCCACCTTTTAATCTAGTGGAACAGAAACACATAAGTGCCAATAATTGGGAAGTTTGGACATGTGGTTCCATAACGAATGGAGAGTGCAAGTAACCCAAGTCCTAGGGGTCCCAAGAATTATTTGACAAGTCATGATGACACTTTTTCAGCAGACAGAGGGCCAATCATTGCTCTTGGGGTACATACAGACTTTAACAAATTGGTTTTCAGTTAATCTTTCAATGAAGGCACGTCTGTGAATGTTACCCAGTGTCATGAAACTGGTTTCCTTACACAACCCCATTGAAGTATCAGCTGTGATGGCTGCAGGACTTCCCATGGTAGCAAAAAATAATCCATTGCAGATTTCAATGTATCAATCCCTTGAACCACACACCTCGCCTCCAATCTACAACCTAGTGGAACACATACAATACCACATACGTGACAATAATTGGGAAGCTTGGACACGGGTTACTTAAACTTTCCATTTGTTAAGGAACCACAAGTGCTAGATGTCCCAAGGATTATTTGACAAGGTTGCCATATACAACTCAGCTAAAGCATCAGCTGTAATGGACGTAGGACTTCCCAACGGTGCAAAGAACAAACAATTTCAGATTTCAATGTGTCAATCTGTTGAACTACACACATCGCCTCCACCTTGTAACCTAGTAGAACAGGTACAATATAACATATGTGCCAATAATTTAGACGTGGGCTATTTGTACTCTTCATTGGTTATAGGACCACAAGTCCTAGATGTCCCGAGAATCATTTGACAAGTAATGACACTTTTTCAGCAGATAGATGGTCAATCAATAAAACAGGTTGCCATACACGACCCAACTGAAGCATCAGCTGTCATGGCCATAGGACTCCCCTAGGGGCCCAGTGCTTGGTATTAAACAGAGGTTTTCCAACTTATTCCTTACAACAGGTTATGATCATTCCCTCAAAGTTTGTAAACTTTTTAATCCAATGACCCAAATAAAAAAAAAAAACAGTTACCAACCTAGAAACCAATAAAACCATTGGCAGACTAGACTGACAGGGTTATTCACAAAAGGGTGAAGAGTTTGGAGAAGGCAGGAGAAGTAAACAATCTAGGACAACATCGCTGAACTGGAAAGTGAGGTGTATTGGATAATTTTTCCAAATGATCTATATGTTGTCCTAGATTGTTCACTTCTCCTGCCTTCTCCACACTCTTCACCCTTTTGTGAATAACCCTGTAAATTTACTACACTGCCGTGTGGTGACACATCACAAACGTGTTCATGGCCAAATGAGGGTCATGACCCATCACAAGCATATCAACATCCAAACGAGGGTCCTGACCCATCACAAGCATACCCAAATGAGGGTCCTGACCCATCACAAGCATGCCCATGGCCAAATGAGGGTCCTGACCCATCACAAGCATGCCCATATGAGTGTCCTGACCCATCACAAGCATGCCCATGCCCAAATGAGGATCCTGACCCATCACAAGCATGCCCATATGAGGATCCTGACCCATCACAAGCATGCCCAAATGAGGGTCCTGACCCATCACAAGCATGCCCAAATGAGGGTCCTGTCCCATCGCAAGCATGCCCAAATGAGGGTCCTGTCCCATCGCAAGCATGCCCAAATGAGGGTCCTGTCCCATCGCAAGCATGCCCAAATGAGGGTCCTGTCCCATCGCAAGCATGCCCAAATGAGGGTCCTGTCCCATCGCAAGCATGCCCAAATGAGGGTCCTGTCCCATCGCAAGCATGCCCAAATGAGGGTCCTGTCCCATCGCAAGCATGCCCAAATGAGGGTCCTGACCCATCTCAAGCATGCCCACGACCAAATGAGGGTCCTGACCCACCGCAAGCATGCCACGGCCAAATGAGGGTCCTGACCTATCGCATGCATGCCCACAGCCAAATGAGGGTCCTGACCCATCGCAAGCATGCCCACAGCCAATTGAGGGTCCTGACCAATCACAAGCATGCTCATGGCCAAATTAGGGTCCTGACCCATCACAGCTACAGAAGACTGATCAGAAGGCTAAATCCTGCATTACCTCGCAGGTAGGTCACTCAGTAGATCTCTGGAAGGTCAGATGTCTCACCAGCCACCATTGTCAGTGAAACATCTGTCCATCTATGATGAGTTCTACAGAAAGGGATCAACAGCTGTAATCGATCATTACAATACCATTGATAAGAGATGGAGACTCTAGCTGCCAGCAGCAGCCACATGGACACATCTAGAATATGGGACCCTCATGTGATCACCCAGGACACTCTCACAGGGCCAACAAAACTCCACAGCCCCCAGCTGTCTGTACTCCCCCCCCCGGGCCAGCAATCACGGCATTACCTTGAGAGCAGAGCTGCAGCATCCCTCCGAGGCCCTCGGTCCCGTACACGCCACACTTAGCCCCACGGAGATCCCGTAACGGTTCCAATAGAAGAAAAGCAACACACACAATATACAGCAGCCAGCCGCCGTACACCGCCTCCTCTGCCTGACTGGCGCCGCAACCCCACTCCAGTCCGCACAGCCGCCACAGACACGCCCACATCCAACATAGGTACGCCCCATCCCGGCCCACTGTGAGGACCTACACACTAACCACTCCCACCATGAGGCAGGGTTACTGTTATTAGTCACGCTCACACTGCTCAATGCCCGCCTCTCGGCTGTGCTCCAAACTTCAGTCCCCGCCTACATTCCACAAGTGCTTTACAAACCAGGGAGTCCCGCCCACTTTCTGTGTATCCACGCCCGCATCAGGCAAAAGCTAGTGGTGATATGGCTGGGAACAGGTGGCCTGAGCTCCGTCCGCTGTTGAGAGTGTGACCGAGACCGGGGGAGAGCGCATTCCTATAGAGGTGGTCGCAGTGCCGGGCTCCTAATCACACACAGAATGCTCGGACATGGTGGCCGTGCCTGAATGGAGCTATAGAGGACCACCAATATTACGAGGTGCGCTTCACTGACCTCCAATATAACTGGGTACATTACACTGACCTCCGATTTAACAGGATGCACTACACTGCACACCAATATAACGGGGTGCGCTACACTGCCCACCAATTTAATGGGGTGCGCTACACTGCCCACCAATATAATGGGGTGTGCTACACTGACCACCAATATAATGGGGTGCACTACACTGACCACCAATATAATGGGGTGCACTACACTGATCTCCAATGTAACGGGATGCACTACACTGGACACCAATATAACGGGGTGTGCTAAACTGACTGCCAATATAACGGGGTGTACTACACTGACCACCATTATAACGGGTGTACTATACTGGCCACTAATATAACAAGGTACACTACACTAACCACAAATATAACAGGGTGTACTACACTGACCTCCAATATAATGGGATGCACTACACTGACCTCCAATATAATGGGATGCACTACACTGACCTCCAATATAACGGATGTGCTACACCTCCAATATAACGGATGTGCTACACTGACCACCACAATAACGTGGTGCATTAATACACTGACCACCAATATAAGGGGGTGCGCTACAATGACCACTAATATAACGGGGTGTTCTACACTGACCACCAGAATAAGGTGATGCATTACACTGAGCACCAACATAACGGGGTGTTCTACACTGACCACCCATATAACAGGGGTGTACTATACTGGCCATCAATGTAACAGGGTACACTACACTAACCACCAATATAACTGGGGTGCACTATAGTGGCCACCAATATAACTGGGGTGCGCTACACTAACCACAAATGTAACGGGTTGCACTATACTGACTGGTAATATAGACCACTAATATAAATGGGAGCACTGCACTGGCTACCGATGTAACAGGGGGCCCTACACTGACTGCCTGAATAAGGAAGGGGGCGCAATACTGACCACCAAGTGGGAACACTACTCTGACCCCTCAATGTAACTGGGGGCACTACATTGACCAACAGTGTGATATGGAGCACTACACTGACTGCCAGTGACAGGGTGACTGCACTGACCACCAATGATGGAGGCACCACACTGCCAGTGTGACAGGAGGCACTACACTGCCATTGTAATAGGGTGTTCTATACTGACAGCTAGTGTGATGAGGCACCAATTTAACTTGGGGCACTACACTGACCACCAGTAACAAGGGGAAGTACACCTGCTACCACTGTGATGGGTGACACTACATTGACCACCAGTATGACAGGGTCACTACAATAACTGCAAGTGTGATGGGAGAGGGGCACTACATTTGCAGCTCATTTACCTGGGTGCACTACACAGATCTCCAATGTAATGGGGTACTACACCAATTACCAGTATGATGGTGGGGAACTACTCTGACCGCCAGTGGTGGGGGGACAATTTTCCCTGAGTTGCTTTTCTGGATATTTGTTTTATGTCCTGTTTACTTGTGCCAATCATTTTCAAATATAGAAAAGGGGAATGTTAAGCAAACAATCCACCCCCGGTGCCATATACTCTAGATACACCTTTGTTGAAGATGCTAGTGATGTCACAATCCTGCCTATATAGATTTAACGTACTTATGATGGCTCCTTATATCTATTTATTCCCATGTACCGGCTGCTAGGCTTCCATATTTGTGTTTAATGTCGAGATTTTTAGATTAGCCATTAGAAGGTGCTTAGAGCATTGGTTCCCAACCTTTTTTCACTTGTATACCCCTTGGCAGTCCATTTGCATAAAAAGTACCCCTCAATGTGGGTGGGGTAGGGGGGTGGGGCTAATAGCATGTGTAGCGCATCACTCTGAATGGTGGGTGTGGTCAAATTGCACTAACATTGGGAGGGGCTTAAAGGTGGAGAAGAAAATGCCTGAATCACTAGATGGGAAAAATGCCACTCAGTTGGTTCGTTGGAGGGAGCTAGGAGGCTGGGGTGGGGGGCTCTTTAGGGTATGTCATATTTCAGTGTGTGCCCAGTGTAATCTTGGGACCTGTTTGGGGAGTGGTCTGTGACACTGGATTCCCTGGATCTGGGATCTATCTGGGGTTTTAGGACCACTCCATTAGAGATGTCTGGGCCATGGGGGATGCAGATGAAGCAAGGGTACAGTCTAGTGTCTCACCTGTATGCAGGGTCGGATTTCCCACATGGCCACCGAAGCCCGGTGTTCTATCAAATATTGTGACTGTGTTAGAATGTCCAGTGATGTGGTCACACATTTTAACATAATCACGCCCACTTTTTCGACGTTGGAATATGTGACCGGCAAAAGGAGAAGAAGTCCAACGCTTTCTCAGCTGTTCCAGGGCAGATTGGCATCGCAGATGGTAGGTTCTGCCCTGGAACAGCTGATCGGTCTATGACTTTGTGAGTGCGATCTTACATTCCACACAGTCAGATAGAAGTGACATTTCAGCTGTTTAAGGGCAGATTGGTTCTCCTGCACATACAATGATGCCGATCTGCCCTGAAACAGATGAGAAAGTGTCGGAATTCTTCTCTTTTTGCCGGTCACATATTTCACCGCCGAGAAAGTGGGCATGATTACGTTAAAATGTGTGACCACTTGACCGGTCACACATTCCAACCCAGTCACAATCTGTGATAAAACACCGGCCTCGGGGAGGCAGGGAGTAAATGGGCGACAGTGGTGTTGAATTCCTGTCGCCTAATGCCCAGGACATGCAGTTCCGGCAGGTAATTTTTTTCTACATTTAGCCCTGCTTCGGGCAAGCAGGGCTAAAGGTAGAGCAGGGAAGCCGCCGTTTGTTTTGTACAAGGGATCTCGGAGATGCCGCCGAGATCACCTGTATCCAGCCTGCAGGTCTGTCCCCCCCTGCAGGCTACCTCTCTCCCTGCCAGTCGCCTCTCTCCTCGCTGGCCACCTCCCTCCCCACTGTGGTATTTGGGCTCACACCGCTCTTATAGGGGATCGGAGACCACAGAAAGTTAGTTCAGGATGGAGAGCGGGGTGCAAAGCGGAGACCGTCCGTTCTCTGCTCTGCTCCGTGTGAACACTTAAAGGAGAACTACGGGGTCAGGGCTTTTCCCCATAGTTCTCCTTAGGGTAACGGGAGGACACAAACTAGCATCCTCCCGTCACCCTAAGCTCAGTATACCGCAAGCTACAGCTCGCGGTATACTGAGAAGCCGCAGCCAGAGCGGATCCTGACATTGATGTCGAGATCGGCCCAGCTGCGTGAGTGACAGCTGGCTCTGCCTATCTAGAGGCAGAGCCAGCTGTACCCTCCCCCGTCCGTCCTGCCAGTCAGCGCTGGCGGATCGGAGCGGGGAGGGGGGAATCCATCCCCTCCCCTGTCACGGCAGAGAGCCGTGACAGGATCGAGAAGGCAGGAACACCGGCATGTGTTCGCTCACCTCCCGATCTACTGAGCCGACCTGTGACAGTCTCATTGTCACAGGTCGGCTAGAACTATGAGGTGAGTGAAAAGCACTCGCCTCATAGTTCCCCTTTAAGACAGGAGAGCTGCACTCGTAGCCTTCCCAGGAGAGCCAACACAATGCTGTGCTCAAACTCTTGTATTGCAGGTGACAGGTTCAATAAAGAGAACCTTACACCTCCAAATGCTATCACACAGGGGCCTAGTAGCCCCTGTGTGATAGTAATACAATTAAGTGGAAAAAAATAATAATTAAAAAATTATAAAATAAAAAAAAATAGAAAAAGGAAAAAATTATAATTAAAATAAAAACAGTTTAAAAATGTGATACAAAAGTAAAAAATGATAAAATGATATTTAGTAGTCCAGGGGGTCTACAGTAGTACTTTCAGCACTCCATGGAGGGGATCGATGCTGCAAAAGTGAAGCAGGTCTCATCTGATTGAGGCACCATAATGGACTGACGACCAGTGTGACCCTGAGAAGAGATGGATCGGGGCGGTTTTATGATGCGGCTCAGGACTCAGGTCTAAGGGTTCAGGTCCCAGGACTGAGAACACAATTCTCAGGACTTAGCACTTGCATTCTCTGTCTTACTCCCTTTCCTCTTTGCGCCAGATTGCAGGAGGCAGCATACGCCTTTAAGCAAAGCTGAGGACATATCATTCAGCCGGGGACTGAAGTGTCAACAGCCAGAAGTATAGAATGAGTGTCGGAGAAAGCAGCTACGGAATGACTCTGTGGACCTTCTGCACACAGTTAAGTCTCTGACTCCCCCACTGCCACAGCCTTTTTCTCTCATTACAAAAATAATTTCAAGTACCCCCTAAATGTGCTGCCAAGTAGCCTTGGGGGTACTTGTACCCCAAGTTGAAAATCACTGGCTTAGAGCATTTACTTTTTTTTGGCCTATGTAACACTTTTAATCCTGTCACTGGCAGCATCTCCCTGATGACAGGATCTCTAAAGAGAGCACTTACCTGCTCCTACAGCATCACCTGCTGCCCAAAGTGCTACATAATTTCATGTGCCAGCAAGACACCATAGAAGCAGATGAGTGTTCTACCTGCACTCTTA